TATTGACTGACAGCCAGGCGGCTATCAAGGCCCTCAGATCTCACTAGATAACATCTAAACTGGCGACGGAGTGCCTCGACAAGCTGAACACTCTTAGTCTGACCAACCAAGTTTGGGTTCTCTGCATGCCGGGACATATTGTTATTAAAGGAAACGATATTGTCGATAAACTAACGAAGGAATGTTCATCAACCCCTTTTATCGGCCCAGAGCCCTTCTGTGGATCGGAAGGGGCACTCTCTGTCTTTGTCCGGTTAGAAAAAGGTACTCAAAGAAGTCGCGACTGGTATAATCTACCAGGTCTAGAGCAATCCAACATAGGAACATATGTAAAACCTTAAATGCTTCAAGGAATGTATGAGCTTATCAAAGAATAACTTGTTGCAGGATTCCTGACAGGACATTGTAGGCTGAATTTGCTCGCACAGGCGCACAGCACATCTTGGAAGAATGTCCTGCACTGTTGGATAAAAGCAGAAGGCACCTGGGTGAAGATCTGACAACCAAACGCGAAGTGAAATCCGTAGATTTAGGTTCCATACAAAAGCACAATAGCAATAGCAACAGAGCAATAGATCTTAAGTTCGCAGTTCATCCACAATAATAATAATAATAGGTGAATTTTTTTTTAACGATGTGACTAGTTTATTGGGATTTACTAAGATGCAAAAACCAATGGAAATGAGTAATTATGCGAGGCAATTGCGTAATATATGTACTTATTCATATACTGAAAAAAAAATAAATCCCTCTCCACTTTCCCATTAACAATTCAAAGTAGAGCAGTTTTTTCACTTAAAAACACTATTTTTCAGGTCGCGTATTTTTTAACCGACCTGACTGAACTCGGATAAATAGCCGAACAAACAAATCAAAATGGCTGTAATGGTGAATAGAAAGGTGCTACCAGATGTTCGAAAATTAAATACGTATACTAAAATGAAGGGATATTCAAAAATCTACTTCTGTTTCATAATGATCTCCATAACATTACGGAATATATGAGTATGTGTGCGGTGTTAATAAAAATAAATACTTCGATAAATAGTGACAATTAAAAGAAATCGCGGGATTTTATATAAATAAATTTCTTTATAAAAATCAATACTGCGATAAATAAGGAAAATTTTTATTAAAAAATTGCGCCATTTTTTATTAAACATTTTCGCCTGCGGCGCTTTTTTCATAAAGTTCAATACTTATAAATAATATTGAAAATTTTTAATTTTTTATAATAATCGATAATTCGATAAATATATAAAACAGTATTTCAATATAAAGAGAAAATTTTCGATAAAAAACCCGCGACTTTTTCACTATTCTCATCATCTGGCAGCACTTCCAAATAACCAATGAAATGTGTATGGTGAATTGCACAACTTTAAAAGTTAATAATTTTTTAAATAGAAGTCTCCGCGCTCTGGGGAATCGGGAAAAGCTGCACACCCTCATATTTATTTTTTTCAAATTTCGACCGAATTTAAGGAAATTTTTCCCCGGAATTGTATGTACCCTGGCTAAGGTACTCGGAAAACATGGAAGAGAAATTACCATATTGTATGTAGCAGGAATATTTTCCATAGAAAGGTTTGCCAACTTCATCGCGTTTTCGAACAACCAACCGAATATTATGTCCCTCCGATTTATCAGATAACCTCAAAAGTGAACTTGGTATGACTAGTTAGTTGAAATTAACTATATTCAAGTTCATATATGTAGACATTGAAACTATGTGACTAGATTTCTGATTGTAGATCCAGAGTTTTTCTACTTCGTTGAACAATTACAACCAAAGAAGCTCATTGAAACGACCGGTTTCATGCTCTCCAGAGCACTTTTAAGATCACGGACCACAAAGATCTGTCCCATACAACAAATTAATTAGTCGTTGGAAATAGTTAGATGTGGTTTTCACCTTAACGGTTACGTAGTGGGGGGCAACAGGTATTTAAAATTTTTCTTCCCTACAGCATCGTTAAAACCAATCATCCAGAAAAGCTAAGACGTAAGGAAATAAATTCTAAAAGAGACTGACCAAAAATTAACTACAGTCAAATGTATATATATACATTTTTTTTACATAAAAGTGTGTGTTTCTAAAACAAGCCTCACATTTAAACCATTTACCTTCGGAGAAGAAAAAAGGTTTTTTCTTAACAGCGGTCGCGCCTCGACAGGCAATGGCAAACCTCCGAGTGTATTTCTGCCATGAAAAACAGCTTCTCATAAAAACACAAACGCCGTTCAGAGTCAGCGTAAAAAACTTTAGGTACCTTCCCTTTGTGTGACAACATCAAGGCGCATGCCAAAACTCGGAGGAGAAGCTCGGCCAAATACTAACGTATGTGTAAGCGCCAATCTTTTATTATTATTATTATTATTATTATGAAAGGAGAATTTATCGAAAAGTAGAAGTAACTTCAGATTTCCATGTTTTTCTCAACTGTGCAAATTTATTCAGCGTTTTCTCGCAGTGCAGTGCAGCGCAGTAGTCTATTTAGTTGGTATTTCATTAAAGAGTGAAACATAAAAAGACGAAT